GCTAAAAGCTGAGGCTCTTGTCTGTTACGTGAACAGCCAGGGAGACTCGGCCTCCCTTCTCTGTTGAGTTCGGTGCTGCCTAGCCTTAACGTTTTCAGTACTCAGTAGCGTCCCCCAGGCTCTCGTATTTTGAGAGGGATTGTACTCCCCTTACATCATATGGGAATCCCAGTTTTCTGTCTCAAGGGTGAATGGTGTCAGGCACTTCTGAATCATTGCAGGTTGTTGTTGTTGTCCATTGCCATGTAAATTCAGGCCATGCAAGTACCTTCTACCGTTTCTTCTTCCCTTTCATTTGTTGTCTGGTTTCTACTAAATATTAACATATTTGGTGAAATGCCTTAAAACAACATTACTTTTTAATTAACAACTTTTTTTTTTTTTCTCTCTAGGTCTGCCAGTAGCTGACAGAGTAGAAAGGTGTGCCTCTCTCTCTTTTTTGTGTAGAGTTAGAGGCAAGCCTGATATCCAGCCAAGATGGACAAAGGAGAAGGACAAGGACAAAGCCTGGGAGGAAGACTATGAGCCTTCAGCACGAGAGACCCCCAGAGGGACCACCGGGGACTGATACGCATGTGCCAGTGGGAGGGTTCGGAATCCGGGAACTAATTATAATAACACTGCCTTTTCTAGAAGTAGTAATGAACATGAGCCTGTCTGAATTTAAGAAGAGATTGGACTGTGCACTTAGTCACATGGTCTGAACTTTTGGGTAGACCTGTGCGGTGTCAAGAGTTGGACTTGATGATCCTTAAGGGTCCCTTCCAACTCAGGATATTCTATGATTCTATGATTCTATGTATTAGCCTAGGAGCAGAAAAAGCTGCCGCCTGATGTAACGTGTGTGCGTGTTGGAGGAGCCCAGACTCCCTGCGCACCCGGCGCTCTTTACTTGCCTTTTATTAACCCCATAAATAAATCTCATAAAGCTAAGTTGACTCGGAATTTATAACAGTATGATGAAAAGTGTTGCACTCCAAGTTGGGAAGGGGAGAGGAAAATGCTCATGTATACGTGAGAATTGTACTCAGACAACTCAGCACACCTTTGCATACACCTTTTAAGGGAAAACTTTAAACCCGAGAAGCAACAGGCAGTTTTCTACGTTTCTTGATATGATAACATGATATATGATATTGGTATGATATCAAAGGATGATATCATACCTGTAGTCTGCTGCAGGCTGAAAAGTAGCCTGTGACTCAGGTACCGTTTTATGCCTTTGTTTTTGCTACTACATCCCTGTAAGCCTTCAAAAGAGAAATGAAATCATCCTACCAGAAGAAACACCGTCCAGAAGACACTTGAGTTTTTAGGGCCTGAATTCTCACTGAAACCAAAGGCAGGGATCTTACTGACCTGAAGAAAGAGGCTTTAATCTCTCCTGGCTTGTTTACTCCTGAAGGAGCGTGAAAGAGATGCGTGTCCTTGTATGTGAAGAGGAGGTGAAGGAACAGCTAGTGCAAGGAACACACAAATCCGTTGCGCCAGACTAATAGGCAGTTGGCTCTGAGCTGGGAGACTGCAACAGAAACACAGAACTATCTAGGTTGGAAGAGACCTCCAAGATCATCGAGTCCAACCTCTGACCTAACACTAACCAGTCCTCCACTAAACCATATCACTGAGCTCTACATCTAAATGTCTTTTAAAGACACCCAGGGATGGTGACTCCACCACTTCCCTGAGCAGCCCGTTCCAATGTCTAACAACCCTTTCGGTAAAGAAGTTCTTCCTAAGATCCAACCTAAAACTCCCCTGGAGCAACTTTAGCCCATTCCCCCTCGTCCTGTCACCAGGCACGTGGGAGAACAGGCCAACCCCCACCTCGCTACAGCCTCCTTTAAGGTACCTGTAGAGAGCAATAAAGTTGCCCCGAGCCTCCTCTTCTCCAGGAGGAACAAGCGGCTCCCTCAGCCGCTCCTCGTAGGACTTGTTCTCCAGACCCCTCACCAGTTTCATTGCCCTTCTCTGGACTCGCTCAAGCACCTCGATGTCCTTCTTGTAGAGAGGGGCCCAAAACTGAACACAGTACTCGAGGTGTGGCCTCACCAGAGCCGAGTACAGGGGGACGATCACTTCCCTAGCCCTGCTGGCCACACTGCTTCTTATACAAGCCAGGATGCCGTTGGCTTTCTTGGCCACGTGAGCACACTGCTGGCTTATATTCAGCCCACTATCAACCAATACTCCCAGGTCCTTCTCTGCCAGGCAGCTTTCCAACCATTCCTCTCCCAGCCTGTAGCTCTGCTTGGGGTTATTGCGCCCCAGGTGGAGGACCCGGCATTTGGCCTTGTTAAACTTCATGCAGTTGACCTCAGCCCATCGGTGCAGCCTATCCAGATCCTCCTGCAGAGCCTTCCTACCCTTGAGCAGATTGACACACGCACCTAACTTGGTGTCATCTGCGAACTTACTGAGCGTGCACTCAATGCCTTCATCCAGATCATCAATGAAGATATTCAAGAGGACCGGCCCCAGCACCGAGCCCTGGGGAATGCCACTGGTGACCGGCCTCCAACTGGATTTGACTCCATTCACCATGACTCTTTGGGCCCGGCTATCCAGCCAGTTTCTAACTCAACGAAGCATATGCCAGTCCAAGCGAAGAGCAGCCAGTTTCTTGAGGAGAATGCTGTGGGAAACGGTGTCAAAAGCCTTGCTGAAATCAAGGTAGACCACATCTACAGCCTTTCCCTCATCCACCAAGTGCATCACTTTGTCATAGAAGGAGATCAGGTTCGTCAAGCAGGATCTGCCTTCCATAAACCCATGCTGACTGGGACTGATTGCCTGCTTGCCCTGCAAGTGCTGCGTGATGACTCTCAAGAGGATCTGCTCCATCAGCTTCCTTGGCACTGAGGTCAAACTGACAGGCCTATAGTTTCCCAGGTCTGCCCTCCAGCCCTTCATGTAGATGGGCGTCACATTTGCTAGCCACCAGTCAACTGGGACATCCCCCGATAGCCAGGACTGCTGATAAATGATGGATAGGGGCCTGGCCAGCTCCTCTGCCAGTTCTCTCAGTACCCTCAGGTGGATCCCATCCGGCCCCATCGACTTCCGCACATCCAAGTGCCATAGCAGGTCGCTAACCATTTATTCGTGGATAGTGAGGGCCACATCCTGCTCCCCATCCCCTTCCGCCAGCTCAGGGTACTGGGTATACGGAGAACAACCAGTATTGCCACTAAAGACTGAGGCAAAGAAGGCATTAAGCACCTCCGCCTTTTCCTCATCTTTTGTAACAAGGTTTCCCCCCGCATCCAGTAAAGGATGGAGATTCTCCTTAATCCTCCGTTTTGCATTGATATATTTGTAAAAAGATTTTTTGTTGTCTTTAACAGCAGCAGCCAGGTTGAGCTCCAGATGAGCTTAGGCCTTTCTAATTTTGTCCCTGCACAGCCTCGTAACATCCTTATAGTCCCCCTCAGTTTCCCGCCCTTTTTTCCAAAGATTGTAAACCCTCTTTTTTCTCCTAAGCTCAGGCTGCAACTCTCTATTGAGCCAGGCCGTTCTTCTTCCACACCGGCTCGTCTTTGGGCACGTGGGGACAGACCGCTCCTGCGCCATTAAGATTTCCCTCTTGAAGAGCGCCCAGCCTTCCTGGACCCCTCTGCCCTTCAGAACCGCAACCCAAGGGACTCCACCAACCAGTGTCCCGAGCAGCTCAAAGTCAGTCCTCTGGAACTCCAGTACAGCGGTTTTACTGGTCCCCTTCCTGGCCTCGCCAAGAATAGAGAACTCCACCATTTCGTGGTCACTCTGCCCAAGACAGCTTCCGACCACGACATCTCCCACCAGTCCTTCTCTGTTTGTGAAGAGAAAGTCTAGCAGGGCGCCACCCCTGGTAGGCTCACTAACCAGCTGCATCAGGAAACTACCTTCCACAGAAACCTCCTAGACTGCTTTCTCTGGGCTGTGTTGTGCTTCCAGGATATGTCAGGGAAGTTGAAGTCCCCCATGAGAACAAGCGCCGATGATTTTGCAACTTCTGTCAGTTGCCTGTAGAACTCCTCATCCGTCTCCTCATCCTGGTTCGGCGGTCTATAACAGACCCCGACCAGGACGCTAGCCTTGTTGGCCTTCCCGCTGATCCTAACCCAAAGGGACTCAACCTTGCCATTCCCAGCCTCGAGTTCCACAACATCGAAAGACTCTCTAATATAGAGAGCCACACCACCACCCCTTCTGTGCTGCCTGTCCCTTCTGAAGAGCTTATAGTCAGGCATTGCAGCACTCCAGTCATGAGACTGGTCCTACCACGTCTCCGTGACGGCAACCAAGTCGTAGCCTGCCTGCTGCACGATGGCTTCCAGCTCCTCTTGTTTGTTACCCATGCTGTGTGCACTGGTGTAGATGCACTTCAGCTGGGACATTGCCTTATCTCCTGGCCTTGCCATTGTTCCCCCTGGCACAGCTCCAACAAGCGTTGAGCGAATGAACGGCTGTGCGAACGGCTGTGTGGTGCTTAGCTGCCGGCTAGGGGAAACCATGACAACAGCAATGTAGTCATGTAACCAAATTGAAGCCAAAACTTTCAGCCCGGTCCTTGACCTGAACAGGGAGTGAGGATCCGCATCCTGGCACTTATATGTGATAGTTTATATGCAGCCAAAGTAAATACTGCAGTCGGATGTCATGGCGCTAGATTTTGAAAAGTCTGGCATAAAGAAGAGATCGCAGAAAAGCAAATTTAAGCAACGTTAATGTAAAGCAAAGTCTTTCGGATTGCTATATTCTTTATCTGTCGTGACTAGACAGATGAAAATCTATGACGGCAATTTTGCCTTTTAGGTCATTTTCTTTTTTATTTTATTTAAGTTTATTGATCTTATTTTAACAGGCTCTGTACTAATTTTCCTCACAGAATGACTAGCAGAAATATGAGCCTTACGTGCCTTTTGTATTTAATTCATTAGGTCAACTCTAACCACTAAGCCCCTTATCAGGTTATTTCTATTAGCAATAAGGAGCAATTGAACCTTAAACATTGAAACCTAGGTTGATGAGCCTATTCCACAAGGTCTCATGACTCCACACATGTGAAGTGAAATCTGCCAGGTGGGGATCATTTGACGTTTGCTATAAAGGAAGCATGAGGAGTATGGGAAGACTTGCCACTCTAGGGGAGTATGAGGTTCAGGTTACTTAGGGTGCTTTTCTGCTGTCCTGGTGAAATGGAATCAGTGTTTCTAAGTAGGCTGCTTTTTTCATCGTGTTCTCTACAAGCTCTGTGAAATAGTTTGGGACAATCTATGAGCTAGTAACATCGGTGGTGACTACTCAGAACAGGAAAACCCTGGTGGTGCTACTTCCCCATGAAGTTATTTGGTAGTAGGTAAAATTCAGAAGCTGGCAGGTAAGTGCTCCTGGGTTAAAAATTTAATACGGGTTGGAGAGCTTGAGGATTTCTTTCACCGTGTCTGTAACATGGAACTTGGGGTATTTAAAGTTTCTGTCATGTGATCATGGTTAACAGATCCAGTCCTGGTCCCCAGTCCTGGTCCCCAGTCCTGGTCCCCAGTCCTGGTCCCCAGTCCTGGTCCCCAGTCCTGGTCCCCAGTCCTGGTCCCCAGTCCTGGTCCCCAGTCCTGGTCCCCAGTCCTGGTCCCCAGTCCTGGTCCCCAGTCCTGGTCCCCAGTCCTGGTCCCCAGTCCTGGTCCCCAGTCCTGGTCCCCAGTCCTGGTCCCCAGTCCTGGTCCCCAGTCCTGGTCCCCAGTCCTGGTCCCCAGTCCTGGTCCCCACCTGTCCTGGTCCCCAGTCCTGGTCCCCAGTCCTGGTCCCCAGTCCTGGTCCCCAGTCCTGGTCCCCAGTCCTGGTCCCCAGTCCTGGTCCCCAGTCCTGGTCCCCAGTCCTGGTCCCCAGTCCTGGTCCCCAGTCCTGGTCCCCAGTCCTGGTCCCCAGTCCTGGTCCCCAGTCCTGGTCCCCAGTCCTGGTCCCCAGTCCTGGTCCCCAGTCCTGGTCCCCAGTCCTGGTCCCCAGTCCTGGTCCCCAGTCCTGGTCCCCAGTCCTGGTCCCCAGTCCTGGTCCCCAGTCCTGGTCCCCAGTCCTGGTCCCCAGTCCTGGTCCCCAGTCCTGGTCCCCAGTCCTGGTCCCCAGTCCTGGTCCCCAGTCTGGTCCCCAGTCCTGGTCCCCAGTCCTGGTCCCAGTCCTGGTCCCCAGTCCTGGTCCCCAGTCCTGGTCCCCAGTCCTGGTCCCAGTCCTGGTCCCCAGTCCTGGTCCCCAGTCCTGGTCCCCAGTCCTGGTCCCAGTCCTGGCCCCAGTCCTGTCCCCAGTCCTGGTCCCCAGTCCTGGTCCCCAGTCCTGGTCCCCAGTCCTGGTCCCCAGTCCTGGTCCCCAGTCCTGGTCCCCAGTCCTGGTCCCCCAGTCCCTGGTCCCAGTCCTGGTCCCCAGTCCTGGTCCCCAGTCCTGGTCCCCAGTCCTGGTCCCCAGTCCTGGTCCCCAGTCCTGGTCCCCAGTCCTGGTCCCAGTCCTGGTCCCCAGTCCTGGTCCCCAGTCCTGGTCCCCAGTCCTGGTCCCCAGTCCTGGTCCCGCAGTCCTGGTCCCCAGTCCTGGTCCCCAGTCCTGGTCCCCAGTCCTGTCCCCAGTCCTGGGTCCCCAGTCCTGGTCCCCAGTCCTGGTCCCCAGTCCGGGTCCCCAGTCCTGGTCCCCAGTCCTGGTCCCCAGTCCTGGTCCCCAGTCCTGGTCCCCAGTCCTGGTCCCCAGTCCTGGTCCCCAGTCCTGGTCCCCAGTCCTGGTCCCCAGTCCTGGTCCCCAGTCCTGGTCCCCAGTCCTGGTCCCCAGTCCTGGTCCCCAGTCCTGGTCCCCAGTCCTGGTCCCCAGTCCTGGTCCCCAGTCCTGGTCCCCAGTCCTGGTCCCCAGTCCTGGTCCCCAGTCCTGGTCCCCAGTCCTGGTCCCCAGTCCTGGTCCCCAGTCCTGGTCCCCAGTCCTGGTCCCCAGTCCTGGTCCCCAGTCCTGGTCCCCAGTCCTGGTCCCCAGTCCTGGTCCCCAGTCCTGGTCCCCAGTCCTGGTCCCCAGTCCTGGTCCCCAGTCCTGGTCCCCAGTCCTGGTCCCCAGTCCTGGTCCCCAGTCCTGGTCCCCAGTCCTGGTCCCCAGTCCTGGTCCCCAGTCCTGGTCCCCAGTCCTGGTCCCCAGTCCTGGTCCCCAGTCCTGGTCCCCAGTCCTGGTCCCCAGTCCTGGTCCCCAGTCCTGGTCCCCAGTCCTGGTCCCCAGTCCTGGTCCCCAGTCCTGGTCCCCAGTCCTGGTCCCCAGTCCTGGTCCCCATCCTGGTCCCAGTCCGTGGTCCCCAGTCCTGGTCCCCAGTCCTGGTCCCCAGTCCTGGTCCCCAGTCCTGGTCCCCAGTCCTGGTCCCCAGTCCTGGTCCCCAGTCCTGGTCCCCAGTCCTGGTCCCCAGTCCTGGTCCCCATCCTGGTCCCCAGTCCTGGTCCCCAGTCCTGGTCCCCAGTCCTGGTCCCCAGTCCTGGTCCCCAGTCCTGGTCCCCAGTCCTGGTCCCAGTCCTGGTCCCCAGTCCTGGTCCCCAGTCCTGGTCCCCAGTCCTGGTCCCCAGTCCTGGTCCCAGTCCTGGTCCCCAGTCCTGGTCCCCAGTCCTGGTCCCCAGTCCTGGTCCCCAGTCCTGGTCCCCAGTCCTGGTCCCCAGTCCTGGTCCCCAGTCCTGGTCCCCAGTCCTGGTCCCCAGTCCTGGTCCCCAGTCCTGGTCCCCAGTCCTGGTCCCCAGTCCTGGTCCCCAGTCCTGGTCCCCAGTCCTGGTCCCCAGTCCCTGGTCCCCAGTCCTGGTCCCCAGTCCCTGGTCCCCAGTCCTGGTCCCCAGTCCTGGTCCCCAGGCCTGTCCCCAGTCCTGGTCCCCAGTCCTGGTCCCCAGTCCTGGTCCCCAGTCCTGGTCCCCAGTCCTGGTCCCAGTCCGTGGTCCCCAGTCCTGGTCCCCAGTCCTGGTCCCAGTCCTGGTCCCCAGTCCTGGTCCCCAGTCCTGGTCCCCAGTCCTGGTCCCCAGTCCTGGTCCCCAGTCCTGGTCCCCAGTCCTGGTCCCCAGTCCTGGTCCCAGTCCTGGTCCCCAGTCCTGGTCCCCAGTCCTGGTCCCCAGTCCTGGTCCCCAGTTCCTGGTCCCCAGTCTGTCCCAGTCCTGGGTCCACCCAGTCCTGGTCCCCAGTCCTGGTCCCCAGTCCTGGTCCCCAGTCCTGGTCCCCAGTCCTGGTTCCCCAGTCCTGTTCCCCAGTCCTTGTCCCCAGTTCCTGGTCCCCAGTCCTGGTCCCCAAGTCCTAGGTCCCCAGTCCTGGGTCCCGCAGTCATGGGTCCCCAGTCCTGGTCCCCAGTCCTGGTCCCCAGTCCTGGTCCCCAGTCCTGGTCCCCAGTCCTGGTCCCCAGTCCTGGTCCCCAGTCCTGGTCCCCAGTCCTGGTCCCCAGTCCTGGTCCCAGTCCTGGTCCCCAGTCCTGGTCCCCAGTCCTGGTCCCCAGTCCTGGTCCCCAGTCCTGGTCCCCAGTCCTGGTCCCCAGTCCTGGTCCCCAGTCCTGGTCCCCAGTCCTGGTCCCCAGTCCTGGTCCCCAGTCCTGGTCCCCAGTCCTGGTCCCCAGTCCTGGTCCCCAGTCCTGGTCCCCAGTCCTGGTCCCCAGTCCTGGTCCCCAGTCCTGGTCCCCAGTCCTGGTCCCCAGTCCTGGTCCCCAGTCCTGGTCCCCAGTCCTGGTCCCCAGTCCTGGTCCCCAGTCCTGGTCCCCAGTCCTGGTCCCCAGTCCTGGTCCCCAGTCCTGGTCCCAGTCCTGGTCCCCAGTCCTGGTCCCCAGTCCTGGTCCCCAGTCCCCTGGTCCCCAGTCCTGGTCCCCAGTCCTGGTCCCCAGTCCTGGTCCCAGTCCTGGTCCCCAGTCCTGGTCCCCAGTCCTGGTCCCCAGTCCCTGGTCCCCAGTCCTGGTCCCCAGTCCTGGTCCCCAGGCCTGGTCCCCAGTCCTGGTCCCCAGTCTGCCCAGTCCTGGTCCCCCAGTCCTGGTCCCCAGTCCTGGTTCCCCAGTCCTGGTCCCCAGTCCTGGTCCCCAGTCCTGGTCCCCAGTCCTGGTCCCCAGTCCTGGTCCCCAGTCCTGGTCCCCAGTCCCTGGTCCCAGTTCCTGGTCCCAGTCCTGGTCCCCCAGTCCTGGTCCCCAGTCCTGGTCCCCAGTCTGGTCCCCAGTCCTGGCCCAGTCCTGGTCCCAGTCCTGGTCCCCAGTCCTGGTCCCCAGTCCTGGTCCCCAGTCCTGGTCCCCCAGTCCTGGTCCCAGTCCTGGTCCCCAGTCCTGGTCCCCAGTCCTGGTCCCCAGTCCTGGTCCCCAGTCCGGTCCCCAGTCCCTGGTCCCCAGTCCTGGTCCCCAGTCCTGGTCCCCAGTCCTGGTCCCCAGTCCTGGTCCCCAGTCCCTGGTCCCCAGTCCCTGGTCCCAGTCCTGGTCCCCAGTCCTGGTCCCAGTCCTGGTCCCCAGTCCTGGTCCCCAGTCCTGGTCCCCAGTCCTGGTCCCCAGTCCTGGTCCCCAGTCCTGGTCCCCAGTCCTGGTCCCCAGTCCTGGTCCCCAGTCCTGGTCCCCAGTCCTGGTCCCCAGTCCTGGTCCCCAGTCCTGGTCCCCAGTCCTGGTCCCCAGTCCTGGTCCCAGTCCTGGTCCCCAGTCCTGGTCCCCAGTCCTGGTCCCCAGTCCTGGTCCCCAGTCCTGGTCCCCAGTCCTGGTCCCCAGTCCTGGTCCCCAGTCCTGGTCCCCAGTCCTGGTCCCCAGTCCTGGTCCCCAGTCCTGGTCCCCAGTCCTGGTCCCCAGTCCTGGTCCCCAGTCCTGGTCCCCAGTCCTGGTCCCCAGTCCTGGTCCCCAGTCCTGGTCCCCAGTCCTGGTCCCCAGTCCTGGTCCCCAGTCCTGGTCCCCAGTCCTGGTCCCCAGTCCTGGTCCCCAGTCCTGGTCCCCAGTCCTGGTCCCCAGTCCTGGTCCCCAGTCCTGGTCCCCAGTCCTGGTCCCCAGTCCTGGTCCCCAGTCCTGGTCCCAGTCCTGGTCCCCAGTCCTGGTCCCCAGTCCTGGTCCCCAGTCCTGGTCCCAGTCCTGGTCCCCAGTCCTGGTCCCCAGTCCTGGTCCCCAGTCCTGGTCCCCAGTCCTGGTCCCCAGTCCTGGTCCCCAGTCCTGGTCCCCAGTCCTGGTCCCCAGTCCTGGTCCCCAGTCCTGGTCCCCAGTCCTGGTCCCCAGTCCTGGTCCCCAGTCCTGGTCCCCAGTCCTGGTCCCCAGTCCTGGTCCCCAGTCCTGGTCCCCAGTCCTGGTCCCCAGTCCTGGTCCCCAGTCCTGGTCCCCAGTCCTGGTCCCCAGTCCTGGTCCCCAGTCCTGGTCCCCAGTCCTGGTCCCCAGTCCTGGTCCCCAGTCCTGGTCCCCAGTCCTGG